GTTTCTTAACCCAGAGTTAGCGGTTTTCAAAAGCCTATATATTTGTCAAATGTAGTTCAAATTTTTCCTCAGGCACTAAAAAATGACACTAATATTCCCAATAGACATGGACACAGGGAGGGGAACATCACACACTGGGGTCTGTTGAGGGGTTGAGGGGGTGTCTAGGGGAGGGATAGCAGGAGGTGGGGAGATTGGGGAGAAATAACGTTAGGAGAAATGTATAATGTAGGTGACAGGGGATGGAGGCAGCAAACCACCGTGGCATGTGTATTTCTATGTAACAATCCTGCAAGATCTGCACAAGTACCCCAGAAATTAAAGTGTAATAATAACTAAAAAAGGAAAAAAGTATTCCCAACAGAATATATTTAGAATTAATAATGATAGCTAAAATTTTTACCATGTGCTTGGTCCTGACCCAAGCACTTTACTTGTATAACTTATTTGGACTTCACAGCAGTCTGTAGAAGTAAGTACAGTAACTTCAACAATGAGCAATGAAATCATATAACATTTCTGCATCCAGAATCCTGTCTCTTCCATCTAGTTGATCAATTACTCTTATCCTGTGTTAATGACTGCCAAATAGCAATTTGAAACAAAGATTAATTTATTGGATTGCCTAGCAAGGGTGGTCTGCATTACTCAGCTATGAGCAGTTCTTGTTAAGCAGAAAGTAAAATAATCAGACTTAAAGACAAGAGGAAAAAGACAATATTCTGAGCCCAGGCCTCTGGATTGTTTACATCCTGTTTTGTAATGGTGGCTTATAGGCTTTTCACCATTGCTGCAGAGAAGCCTCTTTTCCAACAAGTTCAGAATGAGTTGTGTAAGATTTGCAATCCCATCACTGGGTATATATCCAAAGGATTATAAATCACTTTATTATAAAGACACATGCACACTTATGTTCATTGCGGCACTGTTTACAATAGCAAAGACCTGGAACCAACCCAAATACCCATCAATGATAGACTGGACAAGGAAAATATGGCACATATATACGATGGAATACCAAGCAGCCATAAAAAATGATGAGTTTGTGTCTTTTATAGCGACATAGATGAACCTGGAAACCATCATTCTCAGCGAACTGACACAAGAACAGAAAATCAAACACTACGTGTCCTCACTCATAGGCTGGTGCTGAACAATGAGAACACATGGACACAAGGAGGGGAATATCACACACTGTGGTTTGTTGCGGGGGACTAGGGGAAGGACAGCAGGGGGTAGGGAGTTGGGGAGGGATAACATGGGAAGAAATGCCAGATACAGGTGACGGGGATGGAGGCAGCAAACCACATTGCCATGTATGTACCTATGCAACAATGCTGCATGATCTGCACATGTACCCCAGAACTTAAAATGCAATTATATATATAAAGATTCCTGTGGGCCTAGGGCCATCAGGCTACACACAAATGTTTAAAGTTTTGTGAGATTTCTATTTAGCATCATGGATATACCATGTGGCAACAGATCTGTGTATGGAGTTTGGCTGGAGTGAAATTAATGTGAATTAGATGCTTCTATATCTCTCTATTCTCTGAGAACACAGGCATACTCACCACAAAAAAGACCATAGGAGATGAACTCTAGTCATTTCTAACTTGCTTAGAAGCATTCTATTTAGAAATTGTTCTGCATATAGTGCTCCTGGATATTATATGAAAGACACAATAAACTATGAAGAAAAATGTTGTTGATTCTACTAAGATTCACAAAACTGGAAGCCAAGGAATGGCCATATCACTATTTAAAAGAAAAAAAAAAACAGAATAAAAGAAAACAAAAAATGATAGCTGTTTCAGATTACTTGAGCCTGGTTCATCTTGGGCTCCTCTGTCACTAGCAAGGGATATGTTTCTAATTCCCACTGGTTCAGGTTTATCTTCCTGCTTAGTTAACAGCAAGACATGAAGAGAGCATTAGAAGTGTGCTATTGGTTGGTAGAGTTGCTGCAAAAATCTCATCCCAAGAGCTGTTTCATGTCAATCACCTAGGTTGGGATGAGGGAAAGGATGACATCACCCCAGTTCTCTCCCTCACCAGCAGCAGCTCGCCACAGCAACAGCAAAGCCACCAGAAACATGCACTGCTATATCTGGTTGGATATGAAGGAAAACCTCACTCAGAGAAGAAATGAGACATTGTCTATTAGGTTGCTTCCTTCCCTACCATCCCAGTTCTCCCCAGAATTATTTGTTTGAATAAAACAGTTGTTCACTGAATTTCCCTTTCAAAAACATTCTCCTGGAAAGGACAAGCACTCAGTCATATTAATTCCCTGCTTAAAACTTTCCAACTGATTCTGACCCTTTATCAAATGCTATACACTTCGGTGACAACCTATTGGAAAAGAAAGCTGTCTAAATGCACTAATTTCTATCTTGGGCATTAAAATCTTTCTAAGAGAATGTAATTAGTTGTTCACACTGAAAATGTACTCCAGTTTTACAACTCCTGTGATTTTATAACTGACCCCAGGAGACATAAAAATTCAGAGTAATGCAAACCCAATTATCAAATACTATCTAATGTAGAGAAGCAATAGAAAAGCATCAGTTAGGGCCCAAAAGGGTAGTCAGCAAGCCATTATGAAATCTGAAGTTGGGACAACTTCCTAGCGTTTCTGTTACTGAAAACCAGTCTGTGATGAAAATTGAGGAACAGACGCAAAGACACATTTTCCTTCAAACCCACAGTATTGCAATAGCCTGGATACAACCAACAGCCGAACAGACACCCGCAGAGAGTTAACTGAACCAGCAACTAGGAGTCAGAAATGTACCCAAGTGTCTCTGCTCAGTTTTTATTCACAAGATTCTAGCTTCACCTGATACTATCTATTTTTAGCATCATGAAATTAGTATAGATTCACTCTTCAAGTTGTTTTGCAGGTAACAAAAATAGCAAAGACCTAGCCTCTATAATCTGAGAATTTATTCTCTAGATACAGAAAGATGCTTCAACAGAAAATAATTTGCAAAAATTATAAAACAATATGACAACAACCATAAAGTAGTATCTTATGAATTTAATACATATACACTGAAGACTTACATTTGAAAGTAATCAAACTATGATAGGTTTAGTCAGAAAAGACCTCCTAAAGGAAGAATGTTTTGTAAGACATTTTAAAGGGACTTAACAGACATTAATTTTCAGTGAGAAGAATGGAAGTTACCAGCAAAGTCAAAGATATTGTATTATTTTTAGAGAAAAGACTATGATGTAGAGAGATAAGAGGAACCAACCAGACCTGAGAATGTAGCAAACCCTGTGGAAAGAAATGTTGTAATATGGAATCTGAAATTCAATTAAATTTCTTGCATGTTGGCTAGTTTTATATTTGAAATAATACAGCTTCTCTTAAACAGGAAAAACTATAGAAAACATTCGCATAAAACTTTAGAAAATTGTGTAGCATCTATATTCCCTCTAATTTTATAAGCAACAACTGTTCATGGTAAGAACATTTGAAAAATATAAAGTACAAAGGAGAGTTAAAAGCTTCCATAGTACCACTATTGAGACATAACAACTGTTAACTCAGAGTCTTTCAATTTACTCTGTTTATGTGTGTGTGCATGTATATATGTGTGCATCAATGATGCCCTTTTGTACACAAAATTGAACATCTTACTGCACATACCATTTTATGTATTTTTTCCACTATCAATATTTTAAAACTAGCAGTCTGCTTTATGTGACATTTTTCATAGGACTTTTTGTCATTCTGGTCTCATTGATGCTTATTTTTTTTTTCAATAGCCATTGTGTTTGGCAAGTAGGAAAAAGTGCAAATAAATCCCAGTTATATTGTTTGAAAGAAACAATCATTAGCTGAAGAAATCTCTTAGGTTAATATCAACATATTGTGATTTCCTAGAATAAAATATTCAGAGGTGACGAAGTTAGTAAAAATTTGATACATTCTGATTCTGCTGGGCAATAAGGGACTAACCTCTTGTTCCAAATAGTTTGTCTTGGCTCCAAATTAGTGAAGAGACACTTTTGTTTACCATTGTCAATGTCATTATCAAACTCATTTTTGAAAGAAGTGTGTCATCGCAGGGCATAGATTCCTCAGTGATTTCATTGGTTCAAAAAGGTTGCATTGTACTACTTTTCCATCACCCTCTAAATAGTGTGACATGGACCAAAGTCAAGCATGTCTCCTTCGAAAATCAGCTTATCCCACTCAGACACAAAAGTAGTAGTTCATTTTTACTACATCTCCCTGGGGGACATTTGATTCAAAAGAGAGATTTAAAAAGTACTATTAGGTTGAATGTAGTTATTCAAGGTAACAATTCGTTTAATTCATGAAAATTATTTCTATTTTGCATTTGAGTCTCTTATTAAGAATTTCTGTTAGTTTGTTTGCTTCAGTATTCTCCATAGTAACAAACACAGGGAAGCAGCTTTTCCCTTTGTAGTGAACGATCCACAAATAGAGAAACACAACATTGGAGACTGTTTCCCTATCAACTAATGAAGCTTTCCTCTGGAGATGCTTATGTGCCCAGTAGCTTTGGTAAGGTGACATGAGCAGACAAATATTATATGCCTTGCTCTCCCTCTATTTCTGAAGACTTAATATTACAAGAAATAGAGCATTTCAATACAGAATGAAAATAACTTCAAGTGAGAAGGCTCTATGCTGGCAACTACACAGAACTATTTACTTTCCTCTACCATGTAAGGTAGGGTGAACTTTCCAAAGCCCGGTGGCTAGAAATGGTCAATGAAACGCTGGCAACCTTGACTGATGACTTAGTTGTCTTAAGTGAGAAAATATGTATATACATATTGCTTAGGTTTGGACACTTGAAAAAATATTAAAAGAAAATATTTCTAGAATCTAGATAAATGCTTACAGATTTCTATATTAGACACTGCAGAGGGAAATTTTCAGAGACTGGCAATTCCTTTCCTACACAACAACATGTGTTTCTTCTGTGTAGATAAAGAAAAGCAAATCAACTTACCGGATATTACGGTGAGAACTGGTTCAGCTCGAACTATGCTAGTCAAACCAAAATAGTCACTTAAATGCTATGCCACAGGGCTCACAGGATTCTAGAAAGAAAAAAAAAAAACAAAACATTAAAACACTTTCTGAGGTAAGCTACATTGAAGAAACATACTGCAAATTTAAAAATGAAACAACAGGTCAGGTTTTTTTCCTGCACATTTCTTCAAACCATTGTGACTCTGTGCAAAAGAGCTATATACAGGAATGAAATAAACACAAAGGCAGAGGTAAAGGCTTAGCCCAAGTCAATGCACTGAGATAGAGCATGAATTCTCTAATTTTTAAAAAATTGTTAGCTAGTTGGATATTTCACAGAAATACATTGAGTCAGAAATGAGTTGACTCAGTAAAATAAATATTTTAATAGAATAGAACTTACAATAAAAACAATCTGGGGCCAGGCGCGGTAGCTCACGCCTGTAATCCCAGCACCTAAGGAAGCTGAGGTGGGTGGATTACCTGAGGTCAGGAGTTCAAGACCAGTGTGGCCAACATGGTGAAACCCCGTCTCTACCAAAAATACAGAAATTAGCTGGGCATGGTGGTGGGTACCTGTAATCCCAGCTACTCAGGAGGCTGAGGCAGGGAGAATTGCTTAAAACCCAGGAGGCTGAGGTCGCACCACTGCACTCCAGCCTGGGTGATAGAGCGAGTTTTCATCTCAAATGATAATAATAATAATCTGGCATTTACTTAAATTATGCATCACTATATGATGATGAGGCCTAAGCTGTCATAACAATACACATATTCTACATACTACCTTAGTATTGCCAAATTAAGTGCTTCTAGAGTTCTCTGGAAGGAGAAGAAAGAGGAACCCCTAAAGATTAATGAACTCACAACACAAAAGAATCTAGACGCTGGGCGTGGTGGCTCACACCTGTAATCCCAGCACTTTGGGAGGCTAAGGCAGGTGGATTACAAAGTCAGGAATTTGAGACCAACCTGGCCAACATGGTGAAACCCTGTCTCTAATCTTTGTAAAAATACAAAAATTAGCAGAGCGTGGTGGCAGGTGCCTGTTGGCAGGCACCTGTAATCCCAGCTACTCGGGAGGCTGAGGCAGGAGAATCACTTGAACCCAGGAGGCAGAGGTTGCAGTGAGCCGAGATCACACCACTGCACTCCAGCATGGGCAACAAGAGTGAAACTGTCTCAAAAAAAAAAATCTGCATTTCCACTTCTGGGAAATGGGACTCCACGATCTAAAGGCTTGAGAACTAAGAACCTCAAATTTTCTGCCATTCCACCATCACCTCCCCTCAGGGCTGCCTTGTACGCCTCTGGGGGAGGGGCTGGCACCATTCAGATTCTAGAGCATGTGAATGGAGGCCACTGGAATTGTGCAACATGACAGAGGTGAACCCTGGCCAGTGAAGAACATCAGCAGGAGTCAGCTGCTGTTTGCACTCCTCTCCCATTCATACTTTGACTTTCTATTCAAACATTTATTCAACAACTATTTGTGGAGAACCATATCAATCGGGACTCTTTAATGAAGGTGTCAGAAAACCAAACTCCAACTGGCTTAAACAAAAAGGGAATTTATTGTTTCATATATTACAGGCTTTAAGTGAATAGCTGCTATCATCAGAATTACATGTCGCTCCCTATCCCTTCACTCCACTTCCTCTGTGTTGACTCTAATTCTCTGACAGTATTTGGGTCATCCTCGTGACACAGTGGGCAGCACATCAGTCTTATTATTTGATAGAACTTTGTATATTATTTAGTGCTGTATGTGTTACTAACAGACAAAATTCTTCCAGTTAATGATCATCCCATTCTACTAACTTTAGTATTAATTCCAAATTCAACATAATCATCTTGTAAGAACATTAACCCATTATTCAGTAGGCAAATATGTACCTTAAGGAATAATTTCAAAGTCACACAATCTTAGATAAAACAGAGGCAATGCAGTCTGAATCGGGCTCGTTGGGGGTGGAGCTTGGGCACCAGCATTTTTAATAGCTCTGCAGGTGGTAAGACCAGTGGCCTGAGCATTCAACAGATAACATTGAGAACTAGTTTGTCTACATTTGTAAAAGGTTTAAAGCAATTCAGTAGTTATTATGACATTAAAACATATTTAAGTTATACAACTGAGAAGCTTTTATTGGAAATGAAGTCCTAAGAATGGATGTTACAGGTTTTCCAGAACACCTAGGGTCTACAGAAGTCTCTAAGCTCTGCTTAAATTTCATTCTTGATGCCTGCTCTAACCTTTGGATAGCTTCTATTCACATATAATTTTAGCACAAAATCAGGGTAAAGCTTGAAGCTGCTAATTGAATTGTTACATGTGTGTAGGGATAGCATCTGAGATATTAACATACGTGTTTTTTTCTCCCAGTGTTTCCCTCTTTCCTTCTCATTCAAACAGAGGATTCCTAAGGAGAAGGGTAAAACAAGGCAGAAAGCACAAAAGTCTCAATTGTTCTAGGTTTGGCTCTCAAATGCCTAAGAAATTAAGTAGAAAATATCTAGAGTAGAGACAAACTATTTGGAAGAAACAGGAAAGAAAGATTCTATATCTGTCATCTCCACATCTTCCCCACCACACGCACGCACGCATACACGCACACACACACACATGCCCACACGCACGTAGATTGGGAATAAGTCTTGTATTGATCATGATAGCAGAGACTTCAGAAGGTCATACAGGTAGGATGCTATGGGTCTATGACTCCTGGAAAGAAGGCATAATTGTGCTAAGCCTAAGCAGATGAGACTAAAGAAAGCTAATCTTCCATGCTCCCCTCTCCCCAAAATTCTCTATTTAAATGAGAAGGAAAGAGCTTGGCACAAAAACAGCAAAAATTTTCCCTAAGCCCCACTCACCTCCACCAAGATTGCCATAGAATTGAGAGGGAAATGAACAAGTTAACTGAGCCATGTGGATACCAACAGGAGAATTCTGAACTGTCTAGCTTCAGAAAGACCAGGACTAAAGTTCTTGGTAATCTGACATGTGTTCATCTTTATTCTGGGGGAAAGAAATGAATTTGACAAATATGGACTGTCATTTGGAGAGTGGAGGACCAGGAAACTTGGGCCATTCTCTACAAAAACAATTTGTACACATTACAGGGGGATGTAAAAAAGCAGGGGATTATTGACAAAGACTTTGTATCTATTCATAAAAGTGCTTATATGCTTGTCTATTCGTTACCTACTACTGCTTAACAAATTATCCCCAAACTTGCTGGCTTTAAATTATAATAATTATTTATTATCTCACACAGTTTCTGTGGATCGAGAATTTAGGAGTGGCTATGCTTTCATTTTAGCTCGGTCTTTCTTGAGCGTCAAGATGTCAGCTAAGACTACAGTCAGGTGAAGGTCTGATTGTGTCTGGAAGATCTGCTTCTAAGATGATTCATTCACATGGCTACCATGTTCACCTTGGTTGTTGGTGGGGGCCTCAGTTTCTCTCTGTGAAGCTGCTTGAATATCTTTAGAACATCATAGCTATTTTCCTCCAGAGGGAGAGATTCAAGAGGAGGCAAGGGGAAAGCCATATTTTCTTTCATAACCAAGCTTCAGAAGTTGCTCAACTGTCATTTCCTCCCAAGGTCCTATAGATTACAAAGGTAAAACCTACTGATAACAGGAGGGGATTATACAAGACCAAGAATACCAGGAGGTAAGGTGCCATCTCAGAGGCTGGCTACCACAGCTTGCTACTTTGTAATCTTTCCACTAGAGAGTGAAAGATGCTTGCCCCAAATGAGAAAGGAAACATTCTAATTAAATGTCATTTCTGTCAACCATTTCAGATATAAACCAGGAAGGCAGCTCACTTCGCTCCCAAAGGGAAGCAGTGAGTAAACTGTGTTCTTTGAGCTTCACTCTGAATGCATTCGTTTTTGTTGGTTTCACAAAGACAAAGCGTCAGATGGATAGGGGAAGCTTCATTACTGCTTAGACCAAAGAAATAAAAATGACACCTCATAAGAAATGGTTTAAAAAACACTGTGGATGATGTCTGAGTTTTATTTAATTTTTTTTGAACAGTAAATAAAAGGAGAATTGCTGTAAAATTCTTCTGATAGTCTGTTTCTTAAAATCCTGAACCTTACACTCATTGCCTTATGCAAATTGCCAACCATCTTAGAATCTGGTGAGGAGAATGAACTTTTTCCTGAGCTTTGTCCAAGAGTTCCCAGCAGGAACTAGTATACACCAATGACTAAAGGAGAATTTTTCTACTCTTTCTTTCTGTGCCTTGGTATTCTATAAGCCCCTAAATCCTTTATATGACCATGGTAAGATGGGTGAAGCTTAAACAGAAGAATGAGAATTTGAGCTAAAATTAAGATGCAGAAAATTAATGTAGGTTATGTTTATTTTGCACATGCATTTTGAACCCATGTCCAAAATTTCTACTTTCCAAGTATTCAGATAAAATTTAAACCAATGCTTGAAGTAGAACACAAAAATATTACTTTCATCTACATAAAACAATTGGGTGACTCGATCCATTGGATCACTGCATTTAGTCAGTTCAGTTTTTTTAAAAAAATCTTCAAAGAAGTTATAAACAAAACTATATAGTAGTCTTGCCTCTAACAAGAACAATGACAACAAAAAAATAATTTACATGATGAACACTACATGAGGCACATTTTTTCACCTCATTTATTTGTCTCTCAACGAAGCTGAGAATTGTACATGAGAACCTCTAATTTTCACATGAGAAATCTGAGGGTCAGAAAGGTTAAATAACTTACCCAAGGATATTTAGTAAAGCCAGTGTGCATTTTCACACTGCTGATAAAGACATACCCAAGACTTAGTAATTTATAAAGAAAGGAGGTTTAATTGACTCACAGTTCCACATGGCTAGATAGGACTCCCAATCATGGCAGAAAGCAAGGAGGAGCAAGTCATATCTTACTTGGTGGTAGGGAAGAGAGACAATGAGAACCAAGTGAAAGAGGTTTCCCCTTATTAAAACCATCAGATCTCATGAGACTTATTCACTATCATGAGAACAGTGTGTGGGGAAACCACCCATGATTCAATAATCTCC